GCCCCGGGAGGTTCTATCCGCGTTGGGGCCTCATTCTGGGTACCCCTATATGCTCTAAACTGCGCACCCAATTTCTAATACCCTAAACCCTTCACCCTACCCTATGGCTGAAGGATTTGGCCTAAGGAGGGTTGTAGGGTTTCCCCGGTGTGTCGTGAAGGGCGTGACTTGGATCGGAGTTCCTGCTTGAGGTTGTCTTCATCGCCTGCGGTGGGGTCGTTGAGCCTCGTGAACCGCTGCCGCTATTTGGTGAACCTTAGGGAGTGGGAACGACTACCGCGTTGGCGTCGGCGACCCGGCGGGTGAGGTCGTGGTCAGCTACGTTTACGTTGGCAGGTTGCGCGGGAGGGGAGTGTGTGTACGTTGGGTGCCTGCCGAATGCTCCGGCGTGATCGTGATAGTGGGCAGGGACATCGAAGGTGAGAACATCCTGGTGGATTGTGGCCATGGCAGGTGGATGTGGTCAATCAGTCGCCGACGGCCTGGCGAGTAGCGGTGATGAGGATTGAATTTGAAGGACATGCAGGGGTTATAGGAGGTGGTCGGAGGCGTTGCGAACGAGCGAGAAAGGGGTGGCAAGCCGGGGGAGCATGGACAAGCCGGACCCTTGAACCCGTACTGACCCGGGCTTCGCTGTACAGATCGTGAATTCTCTCCCCTTTCAATTAGGTGCTTGTGTCTCACGACTTTGGATGATTGTATGTTGAAGTATTCAGATTTCACCTATGCTGCCGTCTGGGAGGGGGTGACTATGTTGCCCTGCGGCCCCAGGATCCTATGGAAGTGTTACTGAGTGATTGTGAGTGATGGTTGAACTTTCTGCCGTTTGGGAGGAGGTGAGCTGTGCGCGCCTAGTGGCCCCAGGTGGTTCACAAACTGGAGGGCGGCAAGCGTTCCGCGAGAGCTGTGCGATCGCGATTCCCAAAAAAACCCTAAACCCTAAGCCCTAAGCCCTAAACCCTAACCCCTAAACCCGAAACCCTAAACCCTAAACCCAAACCTAGCCCTAAACCCTACACCCTAAGCCCTAAATCTTTTCTCTGATCCTGCCGGCTTCTCTGTGAGGGGGGTGCGGGTTGGCGACATAAGCCCCAGACCTCTAAATCCCTAATATAAAAAACCCTAAACCCTAAGCCCTAAGCCCGAAACGCCAAATTCCCAAACACAAACCCTGAGCCGGGGGCCTTGCCCTTAAAGGACACAGGCGGCTGATGCTCATGATGCTCGCTTCGGGTTTTCTTGTTGTAAAGGACACAGGCGGCTGATGCTCGTGATGTGATGCTCGCTTGCCACGCCGGATGCCCATGATGCTCACTTTGGGGGGGCCTTGCCCTTAAAGGACATAGGCAGCTGATGCTCATGATGATCGCTTGCCCGTGCCGGCTGATGCCCATGATGCTCGCTTTGGTGGGGCCCTTAAAAAGCTGATGCCCATGATGCTCGTGATGCTCGCTTGCCCTTCGCGGGCTGTTTTACTGTGAGTGTTCTCCGATGGAAATGCAGCTGCAGGTTCTGCGCAGCAAAAACGGAAAAGTCCAAGTGCGATCAATCGCAAGGCGTCATTCCACAAGAAGCTTTCTGTGACCACAAGCCCTTTCACAGGTGCCGAGCTCAACGCATGACCGGCTTAAGTGCTCATACGGCTTCAGCTTTGCGCCAGCTACTGTTGCTCTTCTAAAGCATAACGTTGCTGAGTGCCACTGCGTCCTAGCAGCTGCACGCTTAGCATCATCGCCGTGTCTGTCACAGATCGACCACCCGTGACCTGGATCGAGCAACAGACGCTTGCTTGATCGCGCCTCGTTGGCCGGTATTCGCAGGGTTTGAATCAATTGAAGGGAGGCTCACGCGAGGTGTATCAGATGAACTACCAAAGCGTCCCAAAGCAGTCTTGAAACCACCGCCGGCGACGCATGTTTCACGCGCTGTTTAATTTAACTTCACTCCTGCCGATCGACCGTGGCGCCGACAAAGACGATCTCCAAGCCGAAGAAGGGGCCCAAACCTCGCCGTCAACCTCCACTGCAAACCTTGCCCCTCCGACGTTGACCAAAGTTAACTTCCTGCTCCTGATGGAGAAACCGTCCGAGAAGAGAGGCGCAGGGACGTAATAATTAAGTCATCGTTTTCGGATCACTTGACATCAGGCCCATTTTAACACCGGCGTCTTCCAGGTTGCGAAGAATGTGGCCGAGAGTCGATGGGGCGAGGGTCGGAGCCTGAGGTCGCAACCCAACTCCTTGTTTTCTGTGCTGCCATGCCTGCCAGGAGTCAGACTCATCAAGGTGATGGAAGGCAACGTCCTCATCACCAAGAACCTACACTTGGCCTGCTTCAAGGAGGTGATGCTGCTCCGACTCAGAGAGTGGTCGGCTTAGAGTAGTCAGCGTTCACGTGTTTCCGCTGCACATGTTTCTTCAACAATAGTCTGCAGGCCCAAAGAAGATGAGAGCGACTCATCCGACAGCCCGCCCAGAACTCAGAAACAAATACATCGTAGAAACATATCACCTAAGTCAACAGCCAAGGTCTCCGAATCCTAGACTCCTCATTTACGTTTGGGTCCTTTTAGGGCTTTAGACTGCTCAGCTCTTGAGACTCTTGAAACACCAGGACCTGCAACACCAGCGACGCAACGTCACTTTTGTGCTTTTGTGCTTTTGGCTGGGAGTGTTGCTGCTGCCCCTCACTCGTCTTCTGGAGGCTCGTACATGCCCGATGTCTTGCTTGCGTCAATCGTGCTTTTGTAGCTTCTGTGTGCAGCCAGTCATCTCCGACCAAAACAACTTTTTAACCCAACCCGCCTTCTACTGGCCATTCAAGATCATGCCACCGCCCGTCCTCCGCCTAAACCCCCCCGAAACCCCCCCTAAACCCCTCTAGACCCCCTAGACCCTAAACCTCCTTACGCGCGAGGACATCGGCGTGATCAGCCCCTACCGGGCACAGGTCCTCGAAGTCCGGAAGGCCCTGGCGGGTTAGAGGGCTTCTTGGACGGCCTTGAGGCCTTCTTAGAGTTTTTGAGGGTTTAGAGGGTATATGGGGCTCTAGGGCTGGATGGTTTTTTCCAAGGTGTAGAGAGGTTTTAGGGTGGGATGGCTGTGAGGGTTTCGGGTTTCTAGGTTGCAGGGTTTTGCAGGTTTGGGGGTCCTATGGTTTTGAGGGTTTTGAGTTCTAGGGTTGCAGAGTTTTGAGGGTTTAGGTTTTAGGGTTGGAGGGTCGAGGGTGTGAGGCAACCCAGCAAAACCCAAACCCCCCAGCGCCCCGAAACCCTTAGAAAATCTAAGCCCCAAACCCCAAACCCCAAACCCCAAACCCTAAACCCCAAACCCCAAACCCCAGACCCTAAACCCTAAACCCCAAACCCCAAACCCCAAACCCCGAACCCTAAACCCCAAACCCCAAACCCCAAACCCCAAACCCCAAACCCTAAACCCCAAACCCCAAACCCCAAACCCTAAACCCTAAACCCTAAACCCTAAACCCTAAACCCTAACCCCAAACCCCAAACCCTAAACCCTAAACCCTTCCTGTGCCTGCGGAGGCCCTGCAGGGAGCCGTGGAAGCACGCTCCGTGGATGGGTACCAAGGCCTGGACGTCGGTTTTGGGGGGGTGCCCCTTTTATGCCAGACCTGTCCCAGGGTCGGGGTTTAGGGTTTAGGGTTTAGGGTTTAGGGTTTAGGGTTTAGGGTTTAGGGTTTAGGGTTTAGGGTTTAGGGTTTAGGGTTGAGGGTCTAGGGTTTAGGGTTTAGGGTTGAGGGTTGAGGGTTGAGGGTTGAGGGTTGAGGGTTTAGGGTTTAGGGTTTAGGGTTTCGGGTTTCCGAAATTCGGGTTACCTTATTGGGGTCCTATGAAAAGGAATCCTACGATTTCGGGATTCTATTGGGGTCCCTTAGTTTTTCGTAAGCCCCCTAAATAGATCCCCTTAAAGGGACCCCCCCCCAAAAGGGTACCCCTATGTTGTCTTGATTCTTGATGACCATCATACTGACTCAGTCCATTTTGTTGCAGACCTTTGGTCTTACATATTTGTCGTGGTCATTGTTTTGGGTATTGAAGGTTGCCTCGTTGTGTATTGTGTGTTGGGTGTGCGGGGGTGGGGGTGGCGGGCTTCATGCTTTGGAAATTTCGGGTTTGGGAAGCCTTTTGGTTTTCAGAAGGTGGTTCCGTTGTTTGTTGTGTTTATTTGAGACATTGGCTTTTTTTGTGGCATCGCCCATTGCGTCACTTTTTTATCTTCGCACTTGGCGCTGCCAGTTCTTTGTACGGAATGAAGGAGTTCGGTCTTACCCCAAACCCTAAACCCTAAAACCCTTAAAGGGTTGATTCCTCAACTGGCCCCGAAACTCGCGTGGTGTGCAGGCAGGGAAAAGGCCGTCATCATCTTCTCCTGTGTCCGTTCCAGTGGCCTAGGTGCTGAGTTGGCAACCTTTCGTTTTGGGTTTAGGGTTTAGGGTTTAGGGCTTAGGGTGCCCTGGAAAACAGTTTTTGCCTCCCGAGCCCTAAATCCTGAGGCCTAGGAAAACTCAGCTAGTAAGGTTCCCTAAACTGCAAACCGTAAACCCTAAACCCTAAACCTTAAACCCTAAACCCTAAACCCCAAACCCTAAACCCTAAACCCCAAACCCTAAACCCTAAACCCTACAACCCTACTCAAGGCGACTCCGGCAACATTGGCTTCTTGGCAGACTTCCGGCGGCTCAACGTTGCGCTCACGCGGGCGAAGCAGGGACTAATAGCTGCTTTGGCTAAACCCTAAACCCTAAGCCCTAAACCCTGAACCCTAAACCCTAAACCCTAAGCCCCAACCCCCGAAACCTCTGAAAGGACCGTGGGGTTCGGGGTTTCGCCGCCCTCGCTAGATCCGAGTGTGTTCAGGAATGCCTTTGCGGGGTTAGAACAGTGACATTGCTTCTTCCAAGATTGCCCAGAGCCCCAGGTTGTAGGCAACCCGAAGACGCTGCAGCGACATTTCCTCTGGAAGAACTTGCTCGACTGGATGCGGCACAATGACCTCACGCTCTCGCTGGTTGCCTTGGCAGCCAGGCTATTGACAACACATGGAACGACGTGGGTTGATGGGGAGATTGTGCAGCAGTTTTCCCAGGCAGCTGCTTTGGTGAGGGTCCCCGTTCCCGAGAATGTCGCCCTCCCGGCCGCCAAGGGTGTCCTGAGAAGGGAAGACGTGGAGCCGGCTGCCTGGCAGCAGCTCCGCGTGGGGTCGCGGGTCCGGGTCCGCATCCTCGAAAGCGGTGATCCAGGCTTCCTGCACCTGTCGATGAAGCAGGGCCCTTGCCAAGAGTCCTCCGAGGCCCGCATGTTTCGGCTTCGCAACACCCCCGCCCAAAATCCATGTCCTCTAGGCCCATGAAACCCCGACAACACCTGAACCTTCCAAGCACTCACTTTAGCAAGGGGCGTGCTCTAAAATTGGGGATGGGGCAGGGGCAGCTGCGGAAGCCTGCCGTGCGTGAGCCCTTCGACTACATTCCCACCGATCGGGCCACGGCGTCGACCAAGCGAACCTTTACGCAGGCTTCGCGTTCGCTTTCGCCGAAGCTCCCTAGTAGAATCCTCATACACTTAAGGTTTAGGGTTTAGGGTTTAGGGTTTAGGGTTTAGGGTTTAGGGTTTAGGGTTTAGGGTTTAGGGTTTAGGGACAACCCAAAGTACCCCCCCTCCGAATTTTCAACAAGCCCCCATACTCCCGTATTGCGCCAAGAGCCCAAGAGCATGTTGTGTGGTCTTGCGGGGTTTGGAAGGTAACCTGCACGGAAACTCGGGCTTGGTTCTTCAGAGCCCTACAGCCCAAGACACAAGCCATCAGCAATGATTGGTGGATGTGTTCTGGGGTTTATTTAGGGTTCAGGGTTTAGGGGTTTAGGGTTTAGGGTTCCGGGTTTAGGGTTTAGGGTTTAGGGCTGGCCAATGACTTAGAACAACGAGAGCCAACGCGTGCGGACGACAGGCCCAGCGCGAGCAGAAGAAGCGCGAGAAGGCGTGGGCAGGGAAGCCTTCCGCCCTCCCCCATCCCCCCCCCCCCAAACCTTCCCTCAAAGGGGGTTTAGGGTCTAGGGTTTAGGGTTTAGGGTTTAGGGTTTAGGGTTTAGGGTCTAGGGTTTAGGGTCCCGCAAGAACAAATGGGTCGGGAGTAGTTGGGGATACCCGAGGATCAAAGACCTAAAGCCCACAACCTAACGCCATAACAACCATAACCTTGAAACCCTAAAGCCCTAAAGCCCTAAACCCTAAACTCCAAACAAGCCCCCTAAAGCCTAAACCCAAAACCCCAAACCCAAAACCCCAAACCCTAAACCCTAAACCCTAAACCCTAAACCCTAAAGCCCCAAACCCTAAAACCCTTGCCAGGCCAGGAAGAGATGGAAGCAGAGCCTGAAAGGGCGGCGGGGCCGACGCCGGCATTACTGAATGGCGCCGGGGGGGTTTTTCGGGTTTCGGGTTTAGGGGAGGCACCTTGAGAGGTGCTCGCTGTTGCCGCTAAGGATTCCAGGGTTCTTGAAATCTAGGGGTTTAGGGTTTCAGGGTTTTAGGGTTGTAGGGGGTTCGAGGTTCAGGGTTTAGGGTTGGTATCCCTTGTAGAACCCAGCAGTCGCTGCTTAGGGGGAACATCTTCCTGATCAAGAGCCCATCAAGTACTTGGAGGTTCATGAACCAATCATAACTGTACCTATAACCCACTTGTAAGCCCCTTAAGTGCCCTAAAATATGGTTCTAAGTACAGTTATAAGTACAGTTTATACTTGGTTAATAAGTGCCATGAACCCCCAAGTAGGCCCCTAAACCCTAAACCCTAAACCCTAAACCCTAAACCCTAAACCCTAAACCCTACACCCAAAACGCCTCTGCATGCTTCAGTCTCACCAGCCGCCCTCTCCACAGACCAAGCCGGGACTTGCCCACCAATGGGCTTTGGAGTACTATGCTTTAATAGCTTTTTTTTTTTTGGTTTTGGGTTCCCATTCTAGCTACTTATACCTAAAAAGTATATACTTTTTTTTTCCTGGGTCTACTCCAGAGGTAGGACCAGGTATCGGGATATTTCGAAGCCGTCTGCGGTTTAAGGCCCTTCGGGTGTAGGGATGCTTTAGGCTTCTATGTCGGGGGCTCTTCAGAGTTTTTTTTTCTTTAGCAGGGCTTTTTGAGGGGTTTAGACAAGGAGCAGTTCGTGGTCCTTGCTGACTGTTGGAGCCTGCTCCTGCAAACAGCAGCGGCCCAGTTTTCCAGGCTGGCGAGCTCCTGCAGGGTGAAAGAAGGTGGGTGCCTGGGGACTCGATACGAAGGCGTTCACGAGGGATAGGTTTGGGGTTTTTGGGTTTAGGGTTTAGGATTTAGAGTCGATAGGGTTAGGAGGTTTAGGATTTAGAGGGCTTTCGAAGATGTAGGGCTTAGGTTTGCAAGGTTCGGGGCTTGGGGTTCAGTATGGTGCTATAGTCACAAGGGGCGACGGCGCCAGTCCTCGTTCATCACGAGTCATCACGTTTTTTGGCTGCTTGGTTGGGGGCATTGCGTGCGCGTGGCTTCCCTGAGTGCGTCCCTGACAGCACCGGGGGGCTCCTTTGTTGCATACCTTTGCCCCTTGCCATGCCGCCGGATGGGCGCAAAGCGCCCAGGGTTTTTGGGTTTAGGGTTTAGGGGATTAGGGTTTAGGGGTTTAGGGGTTTAGGGGTTTAGGGGTTTAGGGGTTTAGGGGTTTAGGGGTTTAGGAGTGTAGGGGTTTAGGGGTTTAGGGTTTAGGATTTAGGGTTAGAGTCTACGTTACAGTGCAAAGATTTAGCAGCATGAGCTGAGACTTTTCCTGAACCTTGCGATCGCGGCAGCTAGTCGCCAGAAAAAAGGTGTCGTCTCCTTCTCATCCGAACCCCTACACCCTGAACCCCGAACCCTGAACCGCTTTTTTTAGGGTGGTGCACAACGTTATATATATACACACACACATCTATCTGATTACGGTTCACGGTTCGCCGGTACCCCCGCCCTCCTTATCCTAAACCCCCCTCCCCGAAACGCTTGTAATCCCAAACCCTAAAACCTGATAGCCTAAACCCCAACCCCCCAACCACACCACGGGGGGGGGGGGGGGCGCGGGCACCGTAACCTTAAACCCCAAACCCTAAACCCTAAACTCTAAACCTACGCACCGTGTGACAGCTTCTTTGAAACCCTAAGCCCTAAACCTGATCCTAAACCCAAACCACAACCCCCCAACCCCCAACCACGACACGAGGGGACCCACATTCTGAATCCCCCAACCCCCCAACGCCAACCTCCCACTGACCCCCGTGAGGTGCGAAGAAACAACACCTCATGCGGCAAAGCCGCTCTGACCTAAACTGCCTATTCCAAAAAACTTCTTCCGTTACCAAAGGCCGATTCAAGGGCGTCCAGAGGGTTGATGGAGACAGGGTTAGATCAGAGAACTGCAAGCGGGCTCCGGTACCGCGCCCATCGTGTTGGGTCGACCTGCGACCTGCGCCATAGAGGTCGAGGGGCTTATTAGGGTTTTGGGTTGAGGGTTTAGGGTTCAGGGTTCAGGGTTGAGAGTCTCAATCGGAAAGCATCGGGGCAGGGCTTGCCTTGAGAAGTCGAGGCCTTGATCAGTCCTCAAGTTCTGTGATTGTCTAAAGATTCTTTTGTGCGTTCTTTAAAGTCTCACTTAGGTCAGAAAGCTCGAGTTAAAACGGCTTGGAGGGCGTTCAGGGTGCACCTCCCTTTCCACGCCCAGAGCCATCCAGCCCCATGCTGCATCCGACCCAAGACTCCAGACCAAGCCCAGGTCTGTTCCGAAGGGGGAAGAAGCGACAAAGAAGGAACGGGAAATTGAATCAGAAGCAAGGCAGAGAAAGATCGAGATGTGTTGGTAGCTAGGTGGGGTTATCCTGTCTGCGCAAGAAGGCGAGAAGATGAATTCGGGAAAAGCGCGCTTTGCCACGGCACCTGCACTTCAAGACAAACGAGAACAACTTCAGCAGAACCGGCATCCGAACTCCACCCTCGCCGTGTTCGCTACACCCCCGATCAGTGCTCTCCGCGGCTCAAGCGCCGCAGCATCTGGGGCCTCTAGAGCGTTCAGGGAGCCACGTGCCCGAAATGAGGGGCACTCTCTAAGCGATAAGGGGGACCCTTAAAAGGGAACCCCTTCTTAACCCTCTTCTGGCTCTCTTTAACAAGGGACCTTATTCAGAGGGTCTATTTCCCCAAGGGTCCCCCTAGTCCTCTCCCCTTACGGCCTGTCATCGCCCCAAGCCCCATGGAGCTCGACGACGTCGACCTAGATGACCCCGTTCCGAGCGAGACGGGCACCCATGAGGAGCAGCAGGTTCCCGAAGCAAGGGCTGGCAGTTAACACTACTATTTGCTTAGGAACCCCAAAGGAACAAGCATAAAAATTCCCAAATTACCCTTAGTAGGGAAGAATGTGCACTATTTTTTTTTGGGGCTCTTAAGCAATTAGCAGTTCAGCATCATCAAATCAATAGATTGGTTTCCGTTATCCGACATACTACATCGTCTACTCTGCTACATAGCATAGAAGTAAACCCTATCCAGCATGCTATATTTTATAGTAGAGCAGAGCAGAGTCTCGTAAACTCTGTAGTCTTCCACTTTCTTGCTGCCTGCGTCGTTTTTTGCAAGCGGCCCTATCTACCAGAACCCTACAGACAAGTTGCAAGCCCAACTACGCAGCATTCCGTTTGGGCTTAGGAGCCGTGGTAGGCCTACCTAAGAGCAATGGGAGGTCTAAGTCCTACAGTAATCTCTAAACCTTCAACCCTTTAGGGTTGAAGGTTCAGGGTTTAGGGTTTAGGGTTAAGGGTTGCAGGCCGAAGCAGACCCCGAAGGCCCCGAAAAAGCTGAGGAAGCGACCCAAGGGATGGCCATTGAGGCAATCACGGACGCGATGGTGGCTGCAGTGGGTGGGAGTCCGCAAAGGGGTTTAGGGATTTTAAGGGTTTAGGCGTTTAGGGCATACTTTAGAGAGCCATGCAGTATGCCGTACAGTTAAGCTAATGTATCTTCTGTTGAATTCATCCACCTAATTTCAGTCATTCACTCAATAAAGTTACCATACCCTAAACCCTAAAGCCTAAAGCCTAAAGCCTAAACCCTAAACCCTAAACCCTAAACCCCAAACCCTGAACCCTAAACCCTAAACCCTAAACCCCAAACCCTGAACCCTACACCCTATCTTTCGGGTGCCAGGCAAAATGGAGCCCATGTCGCCAGACATCCTTCGCGCTACGAAGGTGCACCGGGCGCTTGCCAAGTTCGGCCGCGCCTTTCGATATTCCAAAGGTATGCACAAGAAGAGCTTCGAGGCGACGAGAACCCCAAGCCCTAAACCCTAACCCTAAACCTAAACCCGAAACCCTAAACCCTAAACCCTAAACCCTAAACCCTGGACCCTAGACCCTAAACCCTAAACCCTAAACCCTAAACCCTAAACCCTAAACCCTAAACCCTAAACCCTAAACCCTAAACCCTCTTCAAGGCCAGGAAGATCGGCACGTTCTGGAGCCACAGCTGGCATGGCTCTTCCAGGGCCAAGTATGTGACCCTGCTGCTTGGGGATGCTTGGAAATAGTTTTTGGGTTTAGGGTTTAGGGTTTAGGATTTTGGGTTTAGGGTTTGGGTTTTGGGTTTAGGGTTTAGGGTTTAGGATTTTGGGTTTTGGGTTTGGGGTACTTCAATTCCTAAGAACCAGCTAAAGATAATCATGTTTGCTCAGTATAGGCTGCAGTTCTACAACGACACAGCCGCAGCGGCCATATCAACTGCAGGTATTTCCGCTTAGGGTTTAGGGTGTGGGGTTGAGGGTTTAGGGTTTGGGGGTCTGGGGTTTTTGGTTGATAGGGTTTATAGGGTTTCGGATAAATATGTGACCCTGGCCATTTCGCCTGCAGGTGCTGCTGTAGCAGCCTGCCTCTTTAGCCAAGAGCTGCTGCCCGCCTTCCGCAGTCGAGAGGAGAGCCAAGGTTTAGGGTTCGGGGTTCAGGGTTTCGGGTTTATAGGCAAACACAAGAATTATAGCACAGTACCGTATGCAGAGTAGGATACACCGATCGCATACTACGTAGCAGGCAGCACCCCCCACCATACAGTCTGTCCTACACCAGCCTTCCTGCAGCCTGCATTTCTTAGTTCACAATCCTCAAGCTGCGTTTCAACCTTGCGCCCTCTGAACTACACGGCTGAGCCGGCTTTTTGACTTGGGGCCCAGCCACCTTGTTTTGGTTTTAGGGTCGAGGTACTCCCGAACCACCACCACCCGCTATAGCTCCTGAGGAGTCGCAGTACGTCCGCTCCGAGTGGGCGCTTCTCGTGGGTGCGCTGCTCTATGTCGCTGTCTGGTTGCGGCTCGGGTTTCTGTTTGTTTCAAGCTGCAAGAACACAACAGACAATCACCTGGCGTAATTCAGCAAGAAAAAGTAGTAACTTGAACGAGAAAAAGTAGTAACTTGAACGCTACGCGACCCGCCTCAGCCTGAGCTTCTGTAACAAGGCAACCCAAACCAGGTGGCTGGGGGCAGGTGGGGTGGGGGAGGGGTGGGAAAAAGCTCCGGAGTGGGGGTTGGGTGGGGGGCGGCCCTATGGCAGGCTGAAGTGCCCTGCACCGTTTGCTCCCGGACACTGTCGGCTAGGGGGGGGGGGTACCCATTTCAGGCCAAAAAGTGCAAAATGAAGGGGCGCACTGTGGGGTGCCTGATGCGTAGCTGCTGCAATGCTGATTTTGAACCCCTTTGGCCAGATCCTGAACATCCTAAAACCCTAAACTTTAAACCCTAAACCCTAAACCCTAAACCCTAAACCCTAAACCCTAAACCCTACACCCTATATAACCCTACAGGCCCCACACATCAGTGAGGTGGTGGCCATCCCAGCAAAGCGTCTTCCTGGACGTGATCTGCATCGACCAGGAGAACACGAGGAGGACCACGAACCCTAAACCCTAACACTAAACCCTAAACCCTAAACCCTAAACCCTAAACCCTAAACCCTAAACCCTAAACCCTAAACCCTAAACCCTAAAACTCTCAACCCTAGACTCTAAACCCTAAGCCATATAGGCATCAAGCCCCACAACTTTGGACCAGGAAAGTCGGCAGAAGTGGCATGGTCCTTTCCGTATCACTGATTGTAGCTTGGGGCAACTCACTTCGTTACCTCTATATAATAGGGTCTAGCCTTAGGGCATAATCCTCGTAATCCCCATATAGCTGAGGGTCTACTCCTGAGTTAAGGGATACGCGATACTTGTTCCCCCCAGGTATATATTCCCAAAATAGGGGACAGAGACCCTCAACCCTAAACTCAAAATACCCTGAACTCCCCACAGCCTACCAAGGCTTTCAGGGTCTGCGGAACCCTCGGCCTCGGGCCTATACATCCGGAACCCTAAGCCCTCAACTGTAAACCCTAAACCCTAAACCCTAAACCCTCGAGCCTGAACCCTACATCCTAAGCCCTGAACCCTAAATTCTGGAGCCGAAGCCCTAAAGCCTAAAGCCTAAACCCTAGACCCTAAACCCTAAACCCTAAACCCTAAACCCTAAACCCTACGCCCTCAGGAAGATGGCTGGCCTGGTGAGCACTCCGGCTCCCATTCGTTCCCGTTTCTTTGTGGACCCTTGGGGCGGTTAGGATTTAGGGTTTAGGGTTTAGGGTTTAGGGTTTAGGGTTTAGGGTTTAGGGTTTAGGGTTTAGGGTTTAGAGTCTCAGATGCGATAGGCGAAGGCCTGTAAGGAGGTGCACTTTGAGAACTCTACGCCGCATGGTCTGTGAGGACCCTAACCCTAAACCCTAAACCCAAAGCCCCAAACCCCAAACCCTAAACCCTAAACCCTAAATCAGAAACCGCGGTATTCGCAAAACAGAAACACTCCGGGAGTGCCCTCAGCCCTAACGCCGTCAGGAACAAAGGGGGGTTAGGGTTGCGGGTTTAGGGTTTAGGGTTCAGGGTTTGTGCTGCTCATGGCAGTTATTACCAGGCCTCCATAGCACTGCGTTTTGGCTGTAGGAGATTGCACGTGTTCCCTGCTGGCTGCAGTTGAGGCATTGGTGGCTTCCTGAAGTACTCCGACTTACCCTAAACCCTAAACCCAAACCCTAAACCCTAAACCCTAAACCCTAAACCCCAAACCCTAAACCCTAAACCCTAAACCCTAAACCCTAAACCCTAAACCCTAAACCCTAAACCCTAATGAGGCATTGGTGGCTTCCTGAAGTACTCCGACTCAATGCTTGTCCTCTGGGACCGTACCTACTGCCACCGCCTGTGGGCGATTTTTGAGCTTCTGGGACATGTTGGTGGGACACGATTTTTTGCCAATGTTTTGCTTGCTTCCTTTACTTCTGCTGTTGGGAGTCTAGAGTCGACAAGTACAGCTACCGCAAACTTCCCCTAAATCCTGAATCCTAAACCCTAAACCTAAATTCCCACCCGGCCTGCTTAGGCCGTCCCCACCCTTGTCTAGGGTGCCTGGACCCAGAAGATAACCGGCAGTGATGGACACCTTTACTGGATGGACAATGGGTGGAGCCATTGGAGAATGGTCGAATAAAGAGCCCGTCAAGCTCGCCTTGCCACTGGTGGCGCCCATATTTACACAGGGATCTTCCTGATACTTTTTTTGATGAGAACACCCAAAAATCAAGCAGTGCACCACCCTGGAGCCCTTGGGCCCCCCGCTGGAGGCCCTCTGGACCTTGACCCGAAAATCCTATAGCCCTGCTGACCTTCCTGGCCCCCCTCCCTGCCCGGCCCCCCCCCTGCTGACCCCCCCTACCCCTGGCCCGCCCTGCCCCCTCCTGACTCCTGTGTCCCCCCTTACCTGATCCCCGCCCCGCTACCTTCACAACACCTTTGTAGGGAAAGCAACGGTGGGAATTGAGGGCGGCAGCCCTAAACCCTAAAAGGCAGTGGTTTGGGCGGTGGCCTGTGAAAGCTCACAGCGGGTGGGGAGAAAGAACCCAGCACCAATGAAATTGTTGGATTACATTGACAAGAGATGCCTTCGCGTGACATGCCGCCCCCCCACACCCCCTGGGTGTGTAGGGGCGCCAACGCATGGCACTTACTGCCGCTGCGCGGCGAGACGCCCGAAACCCTAAACCCTAGACCCTGAGGCCTAAACCCTAAGCCCTAAACCCTAAACCCTAAACCCGAAACCCGAAACCCTAAACCCTAAACCCTAAACCCTAAGCCCTAAGCCCTAAACCCTAAACAGTGGCACAACCATGTCGGGACTCCGAAGCCCCAAAGCGTGAGCCCAGAAGACCTCCAACGCTCAGTTGCAAGAACCAACCCTTCCTAGCAGCCCTGCCCACGAACAGAGGACATGTACTTCTACAGATCGAGTGTACATACACATTCATGGAATGAACATATATATATATATACACATTTATTTAAATAAATAAATTTAAACAAATAAATAAATAAATAAATAACTATATATATATATACGTATATATGTATACATGTAGGTATGTATGTACGTATGTATGTATGTATGTATGTATGTAAGTATGTATGTATGTATGCATGTATGTATGTATGTATGTATTTATGTAAGTAAGTATGTATGTATGTCTGTATGTATGCATACATATATATGTATATGGAAATACATATACAAATATAGTATAATGTTTATGTTCCATATACATACGCCCGTCATAGGCAGCTTTGGGATTTGCTCCTGCGAGCCTGCGTGTAAGGATTGCAGCATTCTTGCGCAGCAAGCAGGGCGAAGATCGGAAGCTCATCATCCGGCCGACCACGCTGGGCCCATGTTGCTTGGGTTTAGGGTTTAGGGTTTAGGGTTTAGGGGTTTAGGGTTTAGGGGTTTAGGGTTTAGGGGGCATTGCTCCCGTGCTCAGTAGGGCTCAGAAGGGCAACCCCGCAACCCCTCATCCAGGGAAGCTTTAGGGCTTATAGGGTTTAGGGTTTCGGGCTTCGGGTTTAGTGTTCAGGCTATCTCTTGCAGACAGCCACTGTATTCCTCGTCTTCCTTGGAGCTGGCCTCATACCGGATCACAGCCAGATACTAATGTGGGTCCTTCAGGCATTGTTGTGTTTCTTCGGCTTTTACATCAACGTGGCAACCTACCGGGCATACTTCTGCTCGGTTGAAGGGATGCGGCAGGTACTGAAGAGTTTTAAGCTTGCTGACGCATATAGCTACTGCTGCAGTAGCGATCACCGCGGCAAGGGCGGCGTGCCACTGCTGTGTGACCGAAGCGTCATTCACAAGTGCATTTCCGAGTGGTTCGGAAGCTTGGAGCACTTCGAGCAGCTAGTTCAGACGGAGGTGCTGGATAGCCTTGCCCAGCAACTCTCCTCTGAGTTCTTCTCGTATCGCCAATGCCTGGTGTCCATGGTGCCTGTGATCTGGTCCTTCATGGACACGGCTTCTGCTGAGCTGCACTTCGAAGTCAACAAACAGACGGGCTTGCTCAAAGCCGTCAGAGAGCTGGCTCGCGGTCTCGGCTGGTGGTTGGGGGTGGCGCCGTCGGCGTTGCTCGTCGGTGCCCGCCTCTCATATGTCATGAGGAGGAGGTGTCACAAGCCCTGTGATGCTTTACTCAACCTGCCTCCGCTGCTGAGCATCGTGGCTGTGGTTATGGGAATGAGTCAGATTGAGTTCCTGTGCTTTGGGCTCTTCAGAGTGAAGTCCGAGTTTGCCGCAAACATGGCCGTCTTTGCTGGCGTCGCCGTGCTTTTGGCGGCTGTGCTCTTCGTCTGCGTTGGCGTGCATCCCCGATACGTCCCAGGTCCCCGTGCAGAGTCAGGAGCAACGTTGTAAAGCATGACGAAGGTTGCGCCTGCTGCGAGTCATCATTAGCATGCAGCACGCGCACAAAGCTTTTTCAAGTCTCCGGTCAAGACACGGTCAGGCGCATCTTGCACATCTGTAGCATTTTCAAGTTTTAGGGTTTTGGGATACTTCTGTCCTATGCTACACTGAAGTCGCTGCTAACATGTCACTGGCAATGATGCGCCACCGTTTCGGACTGGATGGTAGGTTGACTTTTAAGCGCACAGAAATCCTGTAGCTGGCGGGACGGGTTGCCGTTACGGCAGCTCTGGCTACACACCTGCAAAGGGAGGAAGGTTCAAGCGGGGTAGGTGCCTAGGGAACCTTGGGGAACCCTAAACCCTAAACCCTAAACCCTAAACCCTAAACCCTAAACCCTAAACCCTAAACCCTAAACTCAGGGAGCCTCAGGAGGGAGTACTAGGCAACCTTGGGTTACATACCCCCCTTGAAGTCCCCCTCGCTTAAGAGCCCGGCAGTGGCGGCTCCAAGCCCGCTGACTCCACGCGTTTCACCACAAGGACCTTCGAAAGAAGGCGTGGCCATCACCCGAAACCCTAAACCCTAAACCCTAAACCCTAAACCCTAAACCCTAAACCCTAAACCCTAAACCCTAAACCCTAAACCCCTCTCTGAACTTGCAGGGAACAAAGGAGTCCAGTAGGGGGGGCCCAAGGAGTTTGCCAAGTGATGCAGGCCATGCAGAGCCAATGCCTAAAGACCCTAGAAGCCTTACAAGCCACAAAGAGGCTAAGGACTCTAAGAGCCCCAAAAAAAAGCCCCTAAATCCTAAAGGTCCCTAGATGCCTCCTGCTTTCAGCGGCTGACTCATGAAGAGTGTTCGGAGTTCCCTCGCTCGACATCCAGCCATCGGGCACCTAAAGTGCGCGCTTCCAGCCATTTTCTTGCCGCCGTAATCGGCGCCACGGCAGACAATTAGTGCGATGACCCAGGAGAAAAGGAATGGCAATTTCCCCTTTGTTGGGGAGGGGGGCGGGGCGGGGGGGTGTTTAGGGTTTTGTTTTGTCTCATGTTTGATTGACCAAAGCTGCGTTTACCGTTGCAGCATGTGACCCCTATACTACTAATTGCTTAAAAACCCCAAAAAGACAAAAAAAACTCTTCCTTATTATGGGTAATAATATGGGGAATATTGTTTTCTTTTTTTTTAATATTCTTTTGGGGTTCTAAAGCAAATAGTAGTATAGTTGTGGTGTCCCACATTCGGGCATTATTGCTCTTTAAGCCGCACTGCTTGCCTCTCAGTGCCTCTGACAGTTTGACGACGTGTTGCCAGCTGCACCTCAGTAGCTTAAACCCTAAACCCTAAACCCTAAATCCGAAACCCGAAACCCTAAACCCGAAACCCGAAACCCTAAACCCTACACTTGGTTTCTTCGATGCTGTCACCGTTGTTGGTCTCATGTTTGAGTCGTTACCAATGGCGACCAGCTCTTTGGGTTTAGGGTTTAGGGTTTAGGGTTTAGGGTTTAGGGTTTAATCAGGGTTTGGGGCTGATGGGCTCGCAGTACACCCTGCCTTTTTAACAAGAGGATGTTCCCATCGGGAGCATAAAATACATTCACGTCTTCTTTTTCACTTAGAGGTTTCACTCTTCGCTTGGTGACGTTGCCACCCTGGGGAGTTCTTACAGCATGGGGCCCGAAGGGAAACGGTGCTCCCCCCCAGGGTTGAAAGCAATCCTGCTAGCTTCTTGCTGGCCTCGGCTTTGCTCTTCATGTACCTGTTTTAAAAGCATTGATATATTCATATCAGGGCACTTCAGGGGCTTATAAGTTGGTTACAAGTACAGTGACAATTGGTTAACAAGTACCATGAAACCTCCAAGCACCCTTTGCCCAAAAGACCAGTTTGAGGATGAGCCAGCCAAAAGAATATGGACCCGCACCGCCCCCCCCCCCCCCCCCCCCCCCCCCGTAAAAGTCTTGCCATTGCATGGATGCTTCTTCTGGTTCCCTGCAGGCAAGGAGTGGGCTCCATTCCCTCCCTCCCAGCAACATTCGTTGTTTGAGTTTTGCAGAGCATGGCGACCTTAGCAGTTGCCGTGTTTACATTTTGCTGTGCCGTCGGGTTGGCCAGGCGCCACGACGTGCATGGCAACACAGGATCCCGTTTTCGAAAAAATGAGTCCCTTCCAATTTGAGCCATTCATGTGTGGCGTCTTGTGTGTACCCTAAAACCCTGAACCCTAAACCCTGAACCCTAAACCCTAAACCCTAAACCCTAAACCCTAAACCCTAAACCCTAAGGCCTAAACCTAAACCCTAAACCCCAAATCCTAAACCCTAAACCCTAAACCCTAGATGTGTTCGACAGGGGCATCAAAAATCAGCAGACACGACCCTGTCTCTGGGAGGACTGGCAGTCGACTCCCAGATGGAGCTGCAAGAGTTGCTGGGCATGCTCAGCACGTGGAACACGGGCACAAGGATTGCCGTCTTGAATCTTGGTAGCCCAGTGGTACCCTTTGCCTTTTCGATTTTGGTTATGGGTCCCCTTACAGGATGACCGAGCCAAAAAAAGGGTGCCCTTCTTAATAGGGTTACTGGGCTACCAAGGAATGAGGTTCTGAGTACCAAGAACAACCCAGATGGTGTGCGCAAGAGTGCTGTGGACTATGCCCTGCCACTTCTCCCCGAAGTGCTCACGAGCGACTCGGAGCCAGCAGGAACACGCATGCACGCCGTCATGGCGCTTGCCCAGGTGCTGAAGGAGGACCCGACCGTGCCAGAGAGCTCCGTCATGAAGGCACGTGAACTCGCCTCCCTCGACGGAGTGCTGCCGCTCCTGCAGAGCATGCTCCAGGCAAGCGACTATGCCACGCGCAGGAGCGCCGTGGAGGTGCTTTGTGAGGCACGCCAGGCCAACTTCAGCCGTGTGGAGCCCCTTTTCAAGATGGCACTGGTGGATGAGTCGTCATCTCTGCACAGGATCGCTGCAGAGGGCCTTCGCCGGATGGGCCCTGCGGATCTCAGCGATATGCTGCCCTTTCTCGAAGAGCGGCTGGGAGGAGAGCAATCTTGGACAGTGCGGCGTGAGCTCGTCATGTCTTTGGGACAGATGAACGCCAGCAACCCTAAGGAGGTCCTCCAGCTCCTCCTGAAAGCCTTCAAGGACCAGGACCGCGACGTGCGAGCAGAGGCCGTGGAGGCCCTTGGTCGGGTGGGCTTTGCCGACCCCAACACCGCCCTGCCCATCCTAGCGGATGCGCTCAACACCTCGTTTGACTTGATGCGCGTCAAGGCTGTGAAGGGACTGGTTTACATGGGCTCAACGAGTCCCATCCAAGTGATGGCCATCCTCCGCGACGTGCGCGATTCCGACTGCCAGGCGGCTGTGAAGGCCTTGGGCGGCTTGGACTCCCCCGATGGGAACCCCGATGGCATGCTACTCCTCGCCTACAAGGCGCTGAATAGCACGGACGCCCCCTTGCGCGCCAACGCCACCCGGGCCCTGGGGGAGTTGGCCTCCCGAGACCCGGATGCTGTGGTGCTCCTCGTCCTCCAGCGGGCACTGGCGGACGGGTCCACCGATGTCCGCAAAGCTGCCGTGCAGGCTCTCACACACTTGGGATCTGTAGACCCTAAGGGGGTGTCTTTGGCCTACTTGGGAGTGGTTCTGAAATATTTGGGTACTGCAATTCCGAAGAAACCGCAAAATTTTTAATTTTAAGCCCCAAACCCTAAACCCTAAACCCTAAACCCTAAACCCTAAACCCTAAACCCTAAACCCTAAACCCTAAACCCTAAACCCTAAACCCAGTTTCAGCAGAGGTGCGGCCCTTGCTCCAGGAGGCTCTCCGCGACGGTGCGGGTGAGGTGAGCTCGGCCGCTCGGAAGGTTCTGGCGACGCTGAACTCCACGGGCGTGAATTCCACTGCCGCGGCGCCTGCATGACTCGGCAGTCCCTTGAGACAAGTCCAAGGTGGGTGTTCTCACAGGCACTCTTCTCAGTCCTTGCACGTGAAGAGAGGTAAAAACGGGCATTGCCTTCAAGAGTCGGGGAAGATAGCTACCAAACATAGGGAAACATAGTTGTCCTCGAAATGCGGGTAAGCATAGTGTTCCCCATGGAAACCAGTACAGCCCTGAACCCTGGACCCCGACCCTCCCCCGAAAGGTCTCCGACTCCACAGCCTGTGGAACCTAGCGTCCAGCTTTCGTGGGGCATGCTCTCAGTGGTTCTAGGAGCCTTGAACCCGAAACAGTGGCTTCAGGAGCCCTAAGCCCGAAACCCGAAACCCTAAACCCACCCATGCTGTGCGGGGACTTTCTTCCCAGATGCGTCTCCAAGACCTTCCAAGAAGACATACACTTTTTGGGGGTTGCAAGAAGAAGGATGATCTCGCATTTTGGGGGTATATTCGGGGTACCCGTATTTTGGGACATGTCCAGATAGCAAAGTAGAGGTAGCCACGAACCGAACGATCGCTGTGAAGGGAACGCTGCTCTTGGCGCGGGCTGGCTGCACAGGCATGTATCAACGAAGGTACTTACTGTCTAAAAATCTTCAAGTTTTTGTTGGGTAGCTGCACCAGGTTTATACATGCACATGTTCATGAGCACCTAGTCCCCGAAACCCGAAAACCCGCTCAGCCCATGCCATGGCAGCAGCGCCGGGTTCTCCCAAATCGCTCGGAACTCAGTGAGGCTTGAGTCAGGGCAACTAGGCCGGCCCTAGCCCTAAACCCTAAACCCTAAACCCTAAACCCTAAACCCTAAACCCTAAACCCTAAACCCTAAACCCTAAACCCTAAACCCTAAACCCTAAACCCTAAACCCTAAACCCTAAACCCTAAACCCTAAACCCTAAGCCCTAATCCCTAAACCCTAAACCCTAAACCCTAAACCCTAAACCCTAAACCCTAAACCCCAAACCCCAAACCTAAACCCCCTAAACCTTAAACCCTAAACCCTAAACCCTAAACCCCAAATCATGGGAGTCCCTGTATGTTTCCCCCCCCCCCCCCTCGCATGTTGAAAGGGTTCTGAAGCGTGTCTACAGGGTGTACAAGGGCTCCCTAATGAAGAGCACTTCAGGCTATTTGATAGGGTTTAGGGTTTAGGGTTTAGGGTTTAGGGTTTAGGGTTTAGGGTTTAGGGTTTAGGGTTTAGGGTCTAGGCTTTAGGGTTTAGGGTTTAGGGTTTAGAGTTTAGGGTTTAGGGGTTAGGGTGCACGTTGAGTGGGGGCAAGAGGAGTTTCGTACTTTGAGATGTGCCCCCTAGATTAGAGGCCGCCAGCGCATGCCCAAGAAGTCAAACCGCGTGTCGATCCTTGGCCCAACCCTTTGCACCCTAGACTCACGTGCCTCTTCATGTGGGTGTTTCCGAAATTCGGGGTACCTTCTTGGGGGTCCTTGGTATAAGGGAATCTGATTGTTTCGGGGTCAATAAGCGGGGCCCCCTATGATCACCCTAAACCCTAAACCCTAAACCCTAAACCCCAAACCCCAAACCCTAAACCCTAAACCCACCTAAACCCTAAACCCTAAACCCTAAACCCTAAACCCTAAACCCTAAACCCTAAACCCAAACCCTAAACCCTAAACCCTAAACCCTAAACCCCCCTGTGCCACCAGGTCGCCCCTGAGGGTCTCAGACTATAAGCTGATGCCATGGGATTTGGACCGCAACCCTACACGAAGCCCTCAGACCCCATGGACCCTAAACCCTACATCCCATATACCCTAAACCCCAGATACCCTAAACCCTCATATACCCTAGACCCTGGATACCCTAACCCCGAAGTCCCAGATACCCTCAACCCGAGATACCCTAAACCCTAGATCCCATATACCCCTAAACCCTAGACCCTAGACCCTAAACCCTAAACCCTAAACCCTAAACCCTATCCTTTGATTCCACGCCTCGGTGCGATTTTTTCCCAAGACCAGGTTAGCGGCTGCCTTCTGCAAATTAGGTTGGTGAGGGTCCCCTTTGCAAGATCATTTGAATTAGGCCCGGGCCCGAAAATTTCCGCGCCGCCGGTTCAGGGTTTAGGGTTCAGGGTTTAGGACTCATTCAGGGATTTAGGGTTCAGGGTTTAGGACTTAGGGGGCATGCTCGTCTTAGCGGGCATCTATTCTTCCTTTGGGTAACGGGGACCCTTCTTCTGGAACAAGCAGTGTCGCGGTCGACAAGTCGACCGGTTGGGGCACCCAGCTTCCTCTAGAGAAGTCGCTATGGGTGTTTCCAAAAAGGTTGGGGTTACACCTTTAATATACCCCCAAGATAGTGTAATCCTTCTTCTAGGAACCCCAAAAAAGGGCCCCCTGTTTTCGGAAGCCTCCATATTTTTCTGATTTGAGTCGTTGTGGAGGAGGAAGCTGGCCTGCACAGACCTCCCTGCTTTGGCCCCCCTAGGGGCAGTTTCAGCATTTTTGAATGTCAGATCCGCGCGAACGCACCCGTCTGCGCAATGACTCGGCAGACTCCCTGCGGAACTGCGGTCACTTCCGCTGCACCACGGCCCGGCAGGTGATGAGACTTACTTCGCCAAGGGTTGAACTTTGAGCTTTTGTTTTTTTTGGGGTTTCCTTATTTAGTAGGATTAAGTCTCACTTTTTTTTCCTTCCCCTTGGTTACTGGAGACGTGAGGAGAGGTTGCGGCGTGATATTTAATGAGAGCCTCAAGACCCTGCTGGACGCTGGCGGGGTGGCCAACAGCCGATATCCCACACGAGAGCAGGTGGGCAGCTCTCAAAAGATCCCTCTGGGTTTAGGGTTTAGGGTTTAGGGTATAGAGTTTCCCTGTGTGTGGTCTGGCGCGCCCTTTTTGTAAGGAGCCTCACAACCCCCCCCCAGTTTAGAGGACTACCCAGAAACCTAAACCCTAAACCCTAAACCCTAAACCCTATACCCTAAACCCTAAACCCAAAACCCGAAGCCCTCAAGCGGCAGGTGCAGCTTGCGGGTGACAACCTGTTCAGAACATCCGTGGAGACAGATCGGGTGGACGTCTTCATCGGCCACTCATGGAGCCCCGAAGAGCCCTCAAAAGCCACCAAAAGCCCTCAACCAAAAAAACCCCTCCAAAGCTTTCTGCGGGCACGCAAGAAGCCCTAAACCCTAAACCCTAAACCCTGAACCCGAAACCCGAAACCCTTAACCCGAAACCCCTAAACCCTCAGCCCTAAACCCCTAAACCCCTAAAACCTTAAGCCCTAAGCCCGAAACCCCTCAACCCTGCACCCCCCGAAAACCTTAAGCTCTAACCCCCAAAGGAGTGCGGGGCGCTGGCTCAAGTTCCTGGCTCTCTGCGCCTACTTCAACCTTGGCATGGCGATGGGGTACTCGATGGGCTCATGGCTAGCTACTGCACCTTGCAAGCCCCGAAGAGGGGTTTAGGGTTTAGGGTTTAGGGTTTAGGGTTTAGGGTTTTGGGTTTTGGGGTTTAGGGTACTTGGAGGTTCATGACAAATTAGCCAATGATAACTGTACTTGCAATTGTCTGTACGTATAACCATGTTCAGTCACCTACGTGGCTCAAAGGTGGGCTATAAGTACAGTTGTAATTGGTACCATGAACCCCTCCCCCCCCCCCAAAGGGGGTAGCACTTCGTTTTTTTTGGAGGATAGGGGTATGTAGGGTTTGGTATTTGGTATGTACTGCACCTTCGGCGCACCCCCCCCCCCCCCCCCCCAAAGCCCCCCCCCCCCCCCCCAAAGGGCAGCACTGATTCTTGGGGATTATCTAAACTCAACTCTTCTCCTCGCCCGATCTACTTCTCTTGTTTTGGTTTAGGGTAGTTAGGGTAGCTAGGCTACTTAGGGTATTTACGATATGTAGGGTTTTTAGGGTAGTTCGGGTATGTAGGTTATGCAGGGTATTTACAGTTCAGGGTTTTGGGCATGTGTGGCAGTTATAGGTTGAGGGGATAAGGTTGGTTCCCTTACGCCCACCTCATGCAGCAAGAAGCCGTTCGTCTTCGAGGAAACTTTGACGGCAAAACCCTAAACCCTAAAGCCTAAACCCTTAACCCTAAACCCTAAATCCTAAACCCTAAACGCTGAACCCAAAACCCAAAGCCCAAAACCCAAAACCCAAAACCCAAAACCCAAAACCCAAAACCCAAAACCCAAAACCCAAAACCCTAAACCCTAAACCCTAAACCCGAGGTACTTCTCCTGCTTGGAGTCGGTGGTATGACGAGCCTGGGTGGCAGCTGCCTGGCGCTTCCCTGCCTCGCAGCTCGACTTCTCGGTTCTGTGTGCTTTTTTTTTCAGATTCTTGGTGTGGGGTTTTGGGGGTTAGTTGAGGGTTTAGGGTTTAGGGCTAGGGTTTAGGGTTTACGGTTTAGGGTTTAGGGTTTAGGGCTTAGGGCTCTAGGGTTCTGGGGGTTCTACGAAGGCGCCTCTAATTAGGGCCGGAACGCTCTCAAGGGTCTTCCGAGAGTCGAGGTCTATCTTCCAATGGCCGTGTTCTTCCTGGTCTTCTTCTTCGGCCAGCAGCTTGTAGGTGGGGGCTACGGGCTTAGGTCCCCAACTGCGTCTTGGTAGCCCACTGGTACTTTTTTTTCGTTTTTTTTGGGGTTGTGGGCTCCCTTACAAACCCTAAACCCTAAACCCTAAGCCCTAAGCCCTAAACCCTAAACCCTAAACCCTAAACCCTAAACCCTAAAAAGGAGTGCCCTTATTTTAAAAGGGTTCCTGGGCTATCAAGGTGTGGCTGGACAAGCTCTGCGTGCACCAAACTGACCAGGAGCAGAAGGAGGAGCAGAGACTTGCTGTTGGTTAGTGGCTTTAGGGTTTGGGTTTAGGGTTTAGGGTTTAGGGTTTAGGGTTTAGGGTTTAGGGTTTAGGGTTTAGGGTTTAGGGTTTAGGGTTTAGGGTAGGGAAATTTCGGGAATGAGGTGCCCTATATCCCCCCCCATTATATACCCTTTAAGGGATTCTATAGGGGTACCCTTTACCCCCTATTATATACCCTTTATAAGGGACTATGGTACGGTACCTAGAATTCCCTCAGTAAGGATTAGGGCCTTGCCCACCTTCGTCGCGCACTCCTCGCGCATGCTCGTCCTCTGGGACGACACCTACTTCGACCGCCTGTGGTGTCACTTGGAGCGTCTTGGCCTCGCTGAGCATGTAGGCCCACTCGGTTTAGGGTTTAGGGTTTAGGGACTCCTCGCAAAGGATGGGGCGTGGGAAGCCCTAACAGGCCCAGAGCCTCAAAAACCCCCAACACCCTAAACCCAACAACCCACCAAACACCCAAAACCCTAAAACCCTTAAAGCCCCAAATCCCTGAACCCCAAACCCTAAACCCTAAAACGCCCCAAATCCTTGAACCCCAACCCCTAAACCCTAAACCCTAAAACCCCTAGGCCCTAAACCCAAGAAAGGGTATGAAGGCAAAGTTTGTGGCGGGTGGATCTCAATGTGTCTGGGCCTTTTGATACCCTAAGCAGAGACTCCCATGATCTAAGAGTATGGGCCCGTGTGCTTTGTAGGGTATACTTGGAGGTTCATGCTACTTATTCACCCATTCTAACCGTACTTATAACCATGTTAGGGCACTTAAGGGGCTCATATGTGGGTTCCATGAACCTCCAAGTATAAATTTAGGGAATGGCCCCTGATGCAGACTTCGCACGGGTTCAGGTTTGGGAGAAGCGCCCTAACCTTCTGCAAAAGCCCATGAATCGTGGAAGCAGTGGGAGTGCTGCATCCAATCCTAAGCCCTAAGCCCTAAGCCCTAAGCCCGAAGCCCTAAGCCCTAAGCCCTAAACCCTAAGCCCTAAACCCTAAACCCTCAACCCTAAACCCTATGTTCCCTATAGAATCCCTTTGGGCAGAGCAGGCTCGCGACGTTTACGCGTCACCGCGGCGCGGAGAACTTGGACGTGATGCCTTTGTGGCTGGCTCCATGGCTGCTCTGCTCCATCCTCCTCGACCTTCTGAGTCTTACTGCTGGTTAGTAGGGGAAGTTTAGGGACTGAGGTGGCCTATGTCCCCCTTTTAATATTCTATTTCCTTTAAGGGATTCTATAAGGGTACCTAGGATACCTGGAATCTCCTGATTCCCTGCGAAGCAGCAGTGAGGAGTGCCAGCCTGTTTGAGCTGCTGGAGCACGTGTTCCCGAATTGGAGCGTGGCGTGGATGACGAGCATCATGGCAACCATGGAGATCGTCCTGGGAAGGAACCCAGCAATGTTCGGGTTTAGGGTTTAGGGCCGTTTAGGGTACCCTACATAATCCCTTAAAGGGTATATAAATATAAATAAATAAAAATAAATAAATAAATAAATAAATAAATAAATAAATATAAATATAAATATATATATATATATATATGTAGGGGGATATAGTGTGCCTAACCAACAGTAAGAGGAACCCAGCAATGCTGAAGTTTGCGGCGTGGTTCATCATCTGGATGATGTCGAGCATTGTCTACTTGCCTGTGTCCATACCAAGCTTCTTCTCGTTCCGCATGAAGTTCCAGAGTCACCAGCTGATGCTGAGTCAGATGGCAAATTTCGATGTCCGTGCTGCCAAGTGCACCGTGCATGCTGACCGCCTGGCAATTGAGCATCAGGTGACGGAGCTTTTTCGTTTCCGTGACGAGCTGCATGCTGAGGATTGGCCCCCAAGCTCTACCGAACATGGCGAAATCTACCTTCAAAAGTGTCACCCCCTGGAACAGAGTGGATCTGATCCTTTGGGCCGTTTCAACGAGTATGTTCGAGGGCCGTTGCGTGAGTTCGTGATCGCGCAGATAGGCAACGAGCTGTACGTTCCGTGGCGCATATGCCTGGTGGCTTTCCTGCCTATGATCTTCTACAGCTCAGCGACTTGCTGTTGGTGAGTAGGGGAAATTTCGGGAATGAGGTACCCATCCCCCCTATATATACATATGTATATTCCCTTTAAGGGATTACACAGGGTACACTCATTCCCTAATAAACCCTACTATAACCAACAGTAAGGTGAACGTCCTGGGCTGTGACAATGGACCATGTGAGGAATCTGCCGAGCTGGCTGGCTACAGCTCAGTAGCTGAACCTGGGTGCATGTTGAGGAGTTTCTTTTTAAGACAGTTTAGGGTTTAGGGTTTAGGGTTTCGGGTTTAGGGTTTAGGGCTTAGGGTGATAACGCACATGATAGGATTGATAGGGGTGCCATGGATGCACCTTTCATAGTAGGTGTGCAAACCCAGGCGACGTGAATGTTTTCTTTCGAGGAGCGCGTGTCAGTGTCCAAGAAACGCAAGCCCGCCTACAAACGCAGCTTTGACATTTACACAAACTGTATCGGCGGCCACGTGCCCGAAAAAACCCTAAACCTTAAACCCTAAACCCTATACCCCTCCACCCACCCCGCCCCCCCCCCCCCCCCCCCCCCCCCCCCCCCCCCCCCCCCCCCGGAACCCTTCGGATGGTGGAGCATGCCACCCCTGCAAGTGGTCGACCCCGGAAGACAAGCAACAACATGCGATTCAGTATGTGGCCCCGCAACCCTAAACCCTAAACCCTAAACCCTAAACCCTAGACCCGAAACCCTAAACCCCCAAACAAGAGCTCCCAGGAATACATGCTCGTGCAAACTGTGGGATGGACGCTCTGCATCCTAGCGGCCTTCCCTCTGACCTACCCGACACTCCTCCGGATGGTCCGGCTTCCTGGTGCCATGTTTTGCCCCGCTTTTTGTTTAGGGTTTATGCAGGGTTTAGGGTTTTGGGTTTGGGGTTTAGGGTTTATTTAGCATTTAGGGTTTGGGTTTCCCCCCCGCTGGAGCAACCACGCCCAAAAGGGTAATGTAGGGGTCGGAATAAGTACTAATAATGTTCCCTTATGGTCCCTTTAAGATTGTACTCTGATAGCCCCCAAAGCCCTCTTCTAGTTATAAAGGCCTCTAAATTATCCTTGTTATGCTTGCTGGCCAACGAGGTTCGTGTTGTCGCATGGACAAGGGCCGTTGCAACTCGCTGTGGCTTTCCTGTGCTGCCCGTTGGCTTATCTCTATAGCTACCTGTGTCTGGGTTGTGCTTTGGATAGCTTTTAATTTCTCTTCCTTCCTTAAAAGGGAGACATTGAAAAAGTATTTTCAAGGGGTTTAAAGCACAACTAAGGTGTGGAAGTCTTATTTGGGGCTCTCTTGTTTCCTTGGTGGAGAACTACTCGCGAGTTCAGCTTGGGCTGTTCCTGGTGATCATGGTCTTCCTTGCCATCCAGGAGACCCCAAACCCTAAACCCTAAACCCTAAACCCTAAACCCTAAACCCTAAACCCTAAACCCTAAACCCTAAACCCTAAACCCTAAACCCTAAACCCTAAACCCTAAACCCTAAACCCTAAACCCTAAACCCTTGCCACCCAGGTCTCGTGCCTTTTCTCTACCGGCAGCAAGCACGAGCAAGCGTCGGCGTCGTGCCGTTGCACGCAGCGTCAGGAGACTGCGTATGACGCGCTTCCGTGCCCCAGCTTCACCGTTCCATAGACTCTGTTGCAGAAGTCTCACACTTAAACCCTCAACCCTGAACCCTGAACCCCAAACCCTAAACCCTAAACCCTACACCCTAAACCCTAAACCCTAAACCCTAAACCCTAAACCCTAAACCCCAAACGTGGCCGCTACGCGGCTGTTTCAACACGCCTCGGACCCGTGGGCCGGTAAGAAGGACTCCTGGGAAGATCTCGGAAGGAGTTTGCAGGCCTTCGTCTGCCCTCGTAAACACAACGACTGTAAGTTCTAATAATATCACAAGCAAGCTGTAATCAAATTAGATACAAGGTAGAATAGATACAAAACATATAGGCATAAGTGTAAGTATAAGTACAAGTACAAGTACAAGTACAAGTATAAGTATAAGTACAAGTACAAGGACAAGTTTCTACAATAGACATGGAGCGAACAGGGCTTCCGAGGCCGTTGCGTTGGCTGAGCGTGCCTGCGTCTGCATGTGCTGCCTTGTACAAACCTTTATGAAAAGGTGATCGGCAGATGCGGTGCGGAAAAACTGGGCCGGGTTTAGGGTTTAGGGTTGTAGGGTTCAGGGTTTAGGGTTTAGGGCTTAGGGTTTAGGGTTTAGGGCTTAGGGTTTAGGGTTTAGGGTTACTTGCGCCCGCGCTGCTTGCAAGCCGTGGTGGCTGTGAGGTAGTGCCCATGTTCGGGGGCATGGGGGGGGGGGGTCTCGAATAGAGGGGTCGGAATAATCACTAGTAGCATTCCCTTATGGCCCCCTTTCCCAACTATGCTAGAAGAACCTTCCCAAAACCCTATTCTAAGTCTTGAGGCCCCTATCTTCCTTTGTAAGGTGCCAGACGGGGCCGGTATTTTAGCTCAAGTGTCGACCCCCAAGGCCAAAAGTGCCATCAGCAGAGGCGCCTAACCACCTTGGTATGCAGCCAAAGAGATTCAGGGTTTGGGGGGGTTTTAGGGTTTAGGTTTTAGGGCTTAGGGTGTAGGGTTTTAGGGTTTAGGGTTTTAGGGTTCTATTGTCTTAGGGTTTAGGGTTTTAGGGTTTAGGTTTTAGGGTTTAAGGGCTTTAGGGCCCCTTTGCAGGCTCATGGGTACTTCTAGCCCCAAGTAGAATTGTACTTCTACCCCCATATTATTAATTGGTGCTGTGCCCCCATATTATTAATTGGTGCTTTTGGGAGCACATGCCTCCTACACCCATGGGCCACTTGAGCGATATTGTACTTCTAAGCCCCCTAAGTCCTCTAAGGAAGTTAGAAGCGGACTTTTTTGTTGGGGTCATCAGTGCCCCTGAACCTCCACGTATAACCCTAAACCCTAAACCCCTAAACCCCTAAACCCAAAACCAGATCAAGTACCCATGAACCTCCAAGTATGACCTCCCTTCAGAAAGTGAAGAACCTGGGAGAACGACCTTGCTGACCCGGGGGGGGGGGGGTGAGGCGCAGGTGGTCCGGGTTCTGCCAGTGTACCCTCTTCGACCTAAGCTCCAAGCTTCAAACCCTAAACCCTAAACCCTAGACCCCTGAACCGCTAAACCCTTCCCCAAACCTACCCTGCAAAGTAATGGTAGAAGTTGCACCCACCTGAGGACCATCCGGGATTTCTTGCAACAACGGGGGGCGGCGGGGGGAGTTGAAAGGGCGAAAGGCTTAAAAAGGCATAGGGCATAGGGTTTAGGGTTTAGGGTTTCGGGTTTAGGGTTTAGGGTTTCGGGTTTCGGGTTTAGGGTTTAGGGTGAGGGCGTAGGATTTCGGGTTTGGGGTTTAGGGGGCTTAGCACTTGGGCTCTGGGGTGGTGACAAAAGAAGGGCTTCTGAGAGTGGGTTCAGGATACAGAGTCGGACATATTTGGCGGGCCGCTAGAAGGTAGCTTAGGGTTTAGGGCTTAGGGTTTAGGGCTAAGCTCCAGTATCCTGACTGCAAATGAGGACGCCGAACCCTGGCATCTCCACCGGCAGTGAGTTGGGGGTGTGCAATTTTGCGTTCAGGGTTTAGGGTTGAGGGTTTAGGGTTTAGGGTTCCCGGGAGTGAGGATGAGAGCAGCTCGGGGGTCTATTCCCCCATTCTGAATCTGCACCCTAAAACGTGATCCCTGAACCCTCGAGCCTCACCCCCAGACCCTGAAACTTGAATCAAGAACCCAAGGCAAAGGTTGAGCATTTTAGGGTTTAGGGTTTAGGGTTTAGGGGTTCGGGTTCAGGGTTAAGGGTTTAGGGCTTGGCTTAGGGTTTAGTTCTCGAACTAGGGAATTAGGAACCGCTTACGTCCCCCTACTTGGAGGCACTTATAACCCCTATTATAAGTCTACTGATAACCTACCTAGAGGACTTGGGGGGCTCATAAGTACAGTTGTAATTGGGGTTATGAGTACCCTGAACCTCCAAGTACACCACCCCTAAACCCTAAACCCTAAACCCTAAACCCTAAACCCTAAACCCTAAACCCTAAACCCTAAACCCTAAACCCTAAACCCTAAACCCTAAACCCTAAACCCCAAACCCTGAACCTATATGTAACCCCCAAAACCCAATTTTTCAGGCCCCTGTAGCAGCTGCTCGGAAGCCACTCCTCTGAAGCACGCAGGGCTGTTGCCGGAGAAAGGCGAAACTCAAGCACTCCGACTCTAGGGAGGGTTTAGGGTTTAGGGTTTATATAGGGTTTAGGGTTTAGGGTTTAGGGTCTAGGGTTTAGGGTTTAGGGTTTAGGGTTTAGGGTGGTAGCCTAAACCCGAAACCCTGAACCCTAAACCCAACAGGGCCCCCAAGGGTGCATTCAAGGTGGTTTCAAGAATAGTTGGCCTTCCCAACCTTCAAAATATGGACCCTCTTAGGCAATCAGGGTTTAGGGTTTAGGGTTTAGGGTTTAGGGTTTAGGGTTTAGGGTTTTGGATGTCAGGGGGGTTGGGGAAGCCAAGCAACCCACATGATTGGTTTAGGGTTTAGGGTACTTGGGGGTTGGTAGGGAGGAGTTCTTTTTTTTGTTTTGTTTTTCCAGCGGCCTTCAAGAGGCGCATTCTAGACCCGGTTTGAGGGACCTTTACCTGGGGTACCCCAAAAAGGGCCCTCAATTTAGATAGCTACCAAAAACCCATATCATCCATATCCACATGGGATAAGGCCCCAGTCAAAGGCCTGTCAGAGGGCCGAAGCCACTAAACAGAAGCCCCCTAAACTGTAGGCCCTAGGCCCTAGACAGTCCATAAGCCTTGAGCCCCGAAAGCCTAGATCTGGTTTAGGGTTTAGGTTTAGGGTTTAGGGTTTAGGGTTTAGGGTTGCGGGTTGCTGGTTTTGGAAGGAGGGGGGCTCTGGGAGTGGATCTACTCAATGAAGGTGTCGTCGGGGCAATCTGGTAGGGCCTAGGGTTATATAAGGGTTTGGGGTTTAGGGTTTAGGGTTTTGGGCGCCTGCAATGAGGCCCACTGTGGCGACTCCATTTTTCAGAATATGGAGTACTAGGATGTCACGATTCTGGGGTCCTCATTTCGTGGGCTTGGGATGACGAAGTAACCCTAAACCCTAAACCCTAAACCCTAAACCCTAAACCCTAAACCCTAAACCCTAAACCCTAAACCCTAAACCCTAAACCCTAAACCCTAAACCCGAAACCCTAAACCCTAAACCCTAAACCCTAAACCCTTAACCCTTAACCCTTAACCCTTAACCCTTAACCCTTAACCCTAGCCCTAAACCCTAAACCCTAAACCCTACAACCTAAACCCTAAACCCCAAACCTTAAACCCTAGCCCCTAAACCCTAAACCCAAGGTTGAGGGCTGAAGGGCTTAAAGAGTGTGGGGTTGGTTCAAAGATCTACGGGTCTAAGGCTGAGGGCCCAGACGCAGCCATCTGTGCTTAAGGAAGGTTTCCTGGTGCACTGCATGATCGCCATCACGAAGCTTTGCACCTGCACTGGCTTCCAGTACGTTACGCCACACGGAAGGAGTTTGAGACATCTGAGCTGGGCAGGTTCGCACCCAGCAGTGGTCAGGGGCTAGATTATACTTAATTTACTGTAAATTATATCATACTAAATTTGATTATACTATACTATATGATCTTGTATTATATTTGATTTGCCCTCAGCCACGCTGTAGTTAAGCGGCCGACTTCGGCTGCCGCCACGTTTTCCTTGCCAGCCGGGCGAGGGCTCAGGCGCGGGCCCTCTTGCTGCCTTCCAGGCGTCGTTTCGGGTTTAGGGTTTAGGGTTTAGGGTTTAGGGTTTGGGGTTTGGGGTTTGGGGTGTAGGGCGCCTAAGCCAAGCCCCAAGCCCCAAGCCCTGAGCACCCCAAAAGCCCGAACCCTGAAACCATGAAACGGCGCTTTGGGGGTTCTAAGGTCCCAAACCCTAAACCCTAAACCCTAAACCCTAAACCCTAAACCCTAAACCCTAAACCCTAAACCCTAAACCCTTTTAGGGGGTTCTAAGGTCTGCCATTTTTCTTTTTTAGGGGGGCTCTAGGGATGTTTCATGTCGGAGGCTCCCCCGCAAGACCGGCCCTAAACCCTAAACCCTAAACCCTTAACCCTAAACCCTAAACCCTAAACCCTAAACCCCAAACTCTAAACCCTAAACCCTAAACCCTCAACTCTCCTAGTCACCCGCAAACATCCCGAGCCGCAGGCCACACGGGCCCGCGATCTCCTCCGGCAGGTCTCCAATGGGCACCCTAGGGGGTCTTTAGGGTTTAGGGTTTAATTAGGTTTAAGGTTTAGTTTAGGGCAAGTTTATGGGTGGTTTTTTTGAGGGGGTGTTTGGGGTTTAGTGTGTAGGGTTTTTGGGGAGTCTAGGGATTGGGGGGTTTCGGGCAGACTTAGGCTAAAGACGCGCCCATCCCAGTAACCCGAAGCCCCTTCCCTAAACCCCAAACCCTAAATCCTGAACGCCCTGGCAACCTGCAAACTCCTGAAACCCCGAACCCCCCAAACCCCTCAACCCCGAACACCGTAAACCCTGAACCCCAAACCGCAAGACGCCTCTGAACCCCTGAAACCCTGAAACCCTGAACCCTAAACCCTAAACCCTAAACCCTAAACCCTAAACCCTAAACCCTCATCCCTGAACTTCACCCTAAACCTCAGACTTCTAACCCTCAGACCCTGAACCATCAACCTTGGGATGGTTTCCCCCCTTCTACTAGCACTCCTTAGTCGGGATAAAGATAGGAGGTAAGGTTAGGGTTCAGGGTTCAGGGTTCAGGGTTTAGGGTTTAGGGTTTAGGGTTTAGGGTTTAGGGTTTCAAGGGACTAGAGGG